AAAAAAAAATTTCCAGGCGACGGCCCCGGACTCTCGTTGAAAGCTCTTAGACTGGGTAAAACCACGTGAAACCACGTTCAATGGGCCTGCTGAAAACTTTTGCTAGAGCAAAAATTAGAGTTGTTCCTTATGGATGATGTCTCAAAACTGACGACGAGCGCCTCGGCAAAATCTGAAATGCACTCCTAACTTCCAAATCTGCGTAAGAAATTTGCGTTATTTTAAACTTCCCGCTTCAAAAAGGATAATACAGCACCGGTGAAAATTTAGTTAGAGGAGTCGTTCCATTCAATCCCTGCTCAATATGGCCGACGACGCTTCCGCGCGCAAGTCGATGCACGAGGTCAATCAAGGCGGATATCCGATATCTATCAGCGCGAGACAAATGTGAATGTAAACACGCTGATTGTTATCAGGTATATGTTAGAATCTCGTCCCGTCACACATGTTTTGGCGGATTGGCGTCGGCCATGTTGAATATTGCAACACATTCTTTTGAGCAAGGGCTGCATAGAACGACTCCTCTAAGGAAATGTTCGCCTACGCTGCAGTATCGTTTTGGAAGCGAGAAGCTCAAAAAAACGCAAATTTCTTACGCAGATTGTGAAGTTAGGAGTGCATTTCAGAAATTGCCGATGTGCTTATCGTGATTTTTTAGACACTTTCTATGAGAATAAACTCTTATTTTTTCTCCAGCAAAAGTTTGCAACAGGCCCATTAGTTCTATATAGGCAATGTTATGACCCAGATGTGCGAATAGTTGCTCAGCCAAAGTGCACTTGAAAGTACACAGTTTCGTTTTTGTTTACTTCATTTTGTAAGTGCTTACAGAACATTCAGAAAAAGGCACAATTTTTCCATGCATGGGGATTGAGATGACAACACTCCTCCTCTTTATATCTGTAGTTGAGAGCCAATAAAGCGTAGCTAACAATTTAGGAAAAATCGAGTTATTTGGGTCCTCAACATTGCACATTTAACAAGGGAAAATGTAAAAGGATACGTGTAAAAAAAAATCGGTTTTGATATTTGCAACTAGCGTCAAGATGCAGGGTTTTTAAAGTCACGAAATTCATTTCACGGAATGGTTCTGTTGAATGATGTTCCCCTGATTCTCGATTTAGCGAAACTGCAGTTGCGGTTTCTTGCCCCTTACAGGTACATGTTGCCATTATTCCTTAATTACTTCATATGCGTCTTCTTTCAAAAGTCCCACTTTAGGTATGCCACACTGTCATAATTCCATCCAATGAAAAAGATAAGACTTGAATGTCACTCTGGTGGGGAGTATGGTTCCCATTATGCACACATACTTGACTGTCCAACATTTTCCAAGAAAATTATGATTGGCCACTCTCGGTTTCAGGCCAGCCACCCTCGAGGAAGGACCCGCAGTAGGTGTAATATTTAAATTCTGAAAGATAAATGCACTCAATTTATCTCCTTCCAAAAGGACTTTTAGCGTTTAAAAGCTTAACATCGCTTGCTCGCGTGCATTGAGGACTTTCAGTTCCCCGGTGGATTGGGGGAGGAGGAGAGACGGCTCGAAAAATGAGCCTCGTTATGGGGGTGCGCAGAAAAAATGAAACTGATAGTCACCAAAGAAAAGCCAACATTTCCGCCCCGCAAAGTACTTAGCAAAAAAGGCGCACGTCAATAGAATGTCCAAATCGAGTTAAGTTCTTTTTCCCCACACACAGCAGGGAGTCAAAGTGCGCGTGTGGGGAGTGGAGGTGGGGACTTCAACCATTGTTGTCTAATCATGCTGGAAAATCAGCTTTTATCATGCGGTTTGATGGGTTTCTAACTCACGCTCTGGCAATCTGCGCGACATACCAGTGACATGGATACTCCGGAAGAGCAGGTGAAAAACGCGCCTCGATTTGCCGGGAAAAATGGTTGGAAGTTCAACAGCTTGTCCGGACTCGCCGGTGTGTTGTGACGTATTTTCACGGTTGCCTGAATAATTGATAAAAAAGTATTTCTTCCGGGTCTTAAAAAAATTGTCAAAACCTGAGATATACTTTGCTGAGAAGAACCGTTACATTAAAAACTGCAGGATTTATACCTTTGATCCAGATTGCTCTTAGAGCACGTTTGATACGTCGAAAATTTCAAAGATTAACTCTTCAGTAAGGACTTGCAATTTTCTCGTTCGTCGGTGGTTGAGATTTGCTACTTTTCATAAAACTTTCCGGTGCTTTTCGCGGTAAAAAGTGCATAAATATATTCGTAAAACATTACCTATCCCTAAGTGTTGAATCAATCAAATGAGTAGAGCGTTCATCAATCCTTAGCTCTATATAAAGAGGCATCGCGATTTTCGAACAATACCTATAGCTCAAAAGTTTTAACCATCTTATATTTAAACGAGAAAAAAAGCAATACGAAAAAAAAATTTTCTTCAGTAAGATCGTCGCTCCTAACGTCAAGATGACGCAAAATACTAATTCATTGAATTTGAATGTCCAAAGTACCTACTCAATTTGCCGCCTGGAATGTCCGAAGTCATTTTGACCATGACTGACTAAACATCCCACAGCTTATTTTTGGCCATCTCTTACTCTTTAAAGGCGTTAATGTTTTTCACTATCAGGAACGCATATGAATTGAACGTATTTCTGCCAAACGGAACTATGTGCATTATGGCGTGAGCTCTGTTATGCATGTATTCTTATGGGTCTGAGAGCTCATGTCTTCAGGGACATAATTCCGTTTGGCAGAAATACGTCCAATTGAGAGAGACAATTTAAATGAATGACAATTTCTAAGATTTGGAACGAACTGAAAATCCCGAAAAGAAAAATCCAACGTCTCTAACGCCTAGAATTCACTATTTTAAGAGGAGAAAATGTTTATTCTCCTTTAAAGATGTGGCACTTAAGCCGGCGGCGTTTCATTCGCTTGTTCTCCAATCCCGGACTGACCACTCGACATCAAAGACTGAAAGGCGAAGATTTTGATCCCACCCAGTTATTTTAAGTTCCCGAGAGATGTTGAGGTAAGAAACTAAAGGTGACTTTTCCGGAATACTTCACGATTCGGAGCGTTTTTCTTTTTGTTTCATCTCGCACAAAGCTGAGTGTGTCCATCGCATTTCTCGGAAGCACTTACTATATACAGGTTTCAGATTTCTAGGAACAGATTTTCTCATGTCACGATTGCTAATACCGGTAAAAGTCATATTATTTTACTTTCTATTAACTTTTCTTTTCTCTTTGCTTCCTTTTTTTACTTTCTTTGCGTGGGCGATTTTCAACAACTTTGAGCAAACTATAATTCTAAAGCGTCGGTCCAATGGACATGTGGAGTTTTGACCGGTAAATCAGTGAACAAATAAAAGAAAAACGAGACACTTTATTGAGCTCTTTCATTTATGACAGTAAGGTGCCACCCTGCTGAAACATTGCCCCTGTAATTCTCTTCCAGGTGAAGTTTCTCTTGATATGATGTTATAGGGCACAAGTTCTCCGTGCCTGACTAAAAGAAGCTGTGAGCTTTAGAGACAAAGAGATCCTGTTTCGCATTGCTCGTTAGATCCAGCGAATAACGGAGCTTCTGTCGCTAAAGGGGGGGAGGAACTCTTTAAAGTACGATTTTCTCACAGAGCACGTCCGATAAAACATCATCTGCATCTTAAAGACTTGTACGTTTAAACCATCTAAGTTCCTGGATCTTCAAAGAACTTGCGTCTTGTGTTTTTTCGCTGAAAGGCATCAAGTTGTCCTCTCAGTTTAAAATTACATAGTTTTAGCGACTGAAATTAAATGACGGGGTTTTTCTCTATGTACTTTCTTTGAACTTCATTTGACTTTTCTTCCTGAAGAAGAAGAGTGTTGCCCTCCCAATTATTCTGAATACATAAACAATGATCTTATTTTTTTTTTTTTTTTTTGCCATTTTTAGACTTTTCAGAGCTCTCCCAGGAGCTGCTCATAAAATACGTAAAACTACATTTCGAACAAGCCATGAATCGAAAAGCTACCGGTACACGATGCTTTTCCTCCTGGATTCACCTCGGGGTTCATTTTGCCTGACTCCGCCGCAAATTCGCAATCCAACTCCATTTGGAGGCGTGATAAATGGGCCAGTGGGCCAGTCATCGATTCCAACAGGCGCCTTGCGCAAAATGCGGTTGAATAATTAAATTCGTGGCCAAAGTCGGTGCCTAAATATTCGCCGTGAGTTCGTGGTAATAAATAAACGCAGACAAACCCAGACGAACTTTTTTAATTGATACTGACGTCTATTAGGAAGCCCTTCAAAAGAATTCAGTCGGGTAAAAAAGCTACGAAAATATGTAATTAGTTAGGAAAAGCCTAAGGCCAAGAAAAGGCTAAGATGCCAAAAGACACCCGGTTTTTACAATAGACTGTCTTTATCCGGTTGAAGGAACGTAAATCCATTTCAAGACTAAAAAGTTGGCTCGATAGATTTATCTTTCTTAAAGAATGTTCAGTGCGATTTTTGTCCAAAATTTGTCTAATTTTTGCTCGAAATCGGAAGAAAAATCGGTAAAATCTTTCGTTGAAAATGCCGAAAGTTTTCCTGGTAAAAATGAAATTTTCGAGTAGAAATTTGGCAACATTGAAATGTAGTTACATTCTTTTGAGAGGGAAACTAAGAAATGATTTAGAAAAATACTATGTTGGCCCCTAAAAATTCTATTGCATAGAAAAAAATTGATGGTGCTGACGACAGAACCTTCTGTATTCCCAGGGCTCCAGCAGTTTCTTTGTTACACTTACAGAATTTTTCTGTTGTGAGAACAGAACTCCGGTCGTGGGAACAGGGCACTCAGTCCTCATGACGGAAGCTTCTGTGACAGTTACAAAAGAAGTGCAGGAGCCCTATGAACAGAGCTTTCTTTTTCAGTGTGGCCCCTGGATATTGATCAAGCTGGCCAAATTGGCCTCTAAATTTCTAAGAAGCAGGTAAAGAGGTAAGATTCGAAGACTGACATGGGTTCTCGTAACTAATCAGCATAATTTTGATTGCAGTATGAATGGAACTCAAGCAACGAGACAGTCTCAATTGAAGTGGATCCTGCTTTGCTTTACGAAATCAGCCCAGCTGCTCATTACATCTACGGAACTATCCTGACAACGATTGGCACCGCGGGGGTCTTGGGAAACGGATTGGTCCTCATTGTGTTCACAAGGTAAGCCCGAGCTTTTTACGACAGGTGAAAACACGACGATCAGAATAATGCGCAAATAACACGGAGGAAAATTCCGTTTTGATGAGATGGAATTTTCCTTTACAGGGGGAACTAGAGTACCTTTATAAACTGAGTATGGTCATTCGTATCTTTTTCAACTGGAAAACTGTGCCACTTTTTGATTGGTCAACGAGTTTTTAGACTTCATGATGCTCTTACGGCCGTAAATGAACAAACAAAATGGCGGCTCACCGTCACATTTCATTCCATTCCCATTCATACTTACGGCCTTCGACTGACGAGCAAACCCCTTCTTTTTCACCTGTCTCTGGTGCCGTTTAGTAGAAATACGCACTATTCAAGGTAGAGTTTATGAGATTACGATTGTTTTTGTACTTTTTGAATTTGTTTCAAAATTTGTTGATCCTCATGCCTTGTCAAACCAACTGAAAACTGGTATACTTTTATTACAGGTATCGGCGCTTAAAAGGTCCTTTCTCTTGTTTCATCATCAACCTGGCGATAGCGGACTTGATAACATCCATCTTACACTTTATGTCTGCAATCTCGGCCTTCCAACATAGGTGGATATTTGGACCTGCAGGTATGCACGACTAAATCGTGTATGTTCCTTTACTTTACTGTTGAGAAGGCTAAGTGACTTGTGGGCGTGCCGCGTGCCCTCATTTCTAGAAATCTTCAAGATATATGTCATTATTTGAAAGAAAGGTTGCGGAAGGGCTGAAGTTCATATTGAAGGCTGAAGTCGAAAAATGTCCAACTCCGATTACTACGCTACGAGTCTCTGCTTACGTTTCCTCTACCTCCTTTTAATGGAAAACTATAATCAACATTTCCTTTTTAATGAAACTTTTTATTAATTGTCTGCACTTGTTCAAAATTAATCATAAAAAATTTCAAGGATATATTTTGGTATAATCTTTTTTTATGTAACATTAGACAATAATAGGTGATTTCGAATGTATGAACTTTTTTCAACATTAGTCGTCTGTATAATGTACATTACACTTGCTTTGTCTTCACCCTCAAGAAGATATATAAATCTATGTGCTAAGGGAAATTCATAGCATATACGTTGTTCCTTATAAAACAAAAACCTAATGAAGAAGAAAAATTGCCAGTTCGTGACTAGCGCTCTGCTGGGAAAACTGTATGACAAGCCCGTTGAAAAGAGTGATATCTTCATCTCCATTGAATGTATAATCTTGCGTTCAGACTGAGTTTTCAATCGTGTAAAAATATTTAATACCCAACCACAAACAACACGAAATGTGCCATTGAGTCAATTTTTTGAAAAGTGCATCAAAGTAGATGGAAATCCCTCATTCTTTCATGAACTCATTTTATCTAGACTCTGATGAGATTTCATCTCCCACGCGCTTACAACATAACAAAATACCACCGGGACAAAACGGTCTGGAAAAAAAGTCGAGATTAAAGCGTGCCATCCTGCTGAGCGAAAACCTCTCAACTTGAATCAAAACCCTGGTGACGATATGCGGTTTTGACTGAGTATTGCAGATCGGTTGCGAGCTCTACGTGAGCTAATTTTTTCCGGGAGTTTTAAAAACGGTATCCCTTTTCGCAGAACGAGGTCCTCTTGATCTCAATCTGCGAGAACTAGATCAACGGCACGTGTCACAGACGCCTCAATGATGACAATCAAGCGTGAAATCGGGAGTAAAGGGCGTGAGGCGTGAGGTGAAGAGTGTGACCGCGTCGAAAAGAAGAAGGAGGGAAAGGGCCACGTGCATAAACGTTTTGAGCGGAAGTTTTATAATTTCGAGTGAAATGCGGGTTAATTCTTGAAGTGTTATAGCCTGCATGGAGGGAAACTAGGGGCACAGGGTAAAAGTACAACACGGAAAAAAATTAAATGTTGATTTAGCATTTAAATTATTAAAAACATGTCCGACAAGTTTCAACTGCTGATTTTACATTTGGAAAAATGCTAACTTAACTACACCTACTGTAAAACGAACAAATGCAAATGTTGTGTTAGCATTTTTGGATTGTAAAATCAGCATTTGAAACTTGACGGGCTTTTTTTTAAAAATTGAAATGCTAAATCAACATTTAATTTTTTTCTGTGAAGCCTTGGCTGCGCCCCTCAAAAAGCCCACCTCGGGCGGGAGCTCATGTAAGTTAATCTCTTATTAAGTTATAAGTTAAGAGAGGGCTCATGTGGGGACCATTTCCTATCGATGGCTGCCAAAATAATGAAAATCGAAACATTTACAAAAAATGAACACTTCCTTGGTTTGAGAGATAAGCTTTACAACTGAGTCACAAATATACCCGAATAATCAGATTTTTTCGACGTATCTGTTGAATTACAAAACTGCAATTTTTAGCTATTCAGCCGTGCTAAGGAAGAACGCCGCATGACGATTCGAGAGTTGCTTTTTCTTCGATGAAATGTTCATTTTTGAGGGAGGCTATGAATATTATTCGTTTAAATTATTACAATCTTCAGGTGAAATCGGGAACAAAATTATATGAAACATTGGGAGGAAAATATTCATAAGTTTACCAGGAAATTTGCGTTTTATTAAAGGAAATTTGGCAGCGCCTGAAGGTTAATACGGCGTTTTTCCATAGCACGGCAGTATTCATCTCGAATTTTACATTAAACCGAATTGACAGAAGAGGAAAGGAGTGTATTTTCGACGTATCTTTAGCTAAAAGACGCTTACTATTTGAAGAGGCTTTCCTTTAGACCTATTACTGAGAACGAGAGTGATGAACATGACCACAAAATCGTTTGCTCGCACGAGCGAACTAAATTCGACCGCAATTCGAGGTCCAGCAAATTTATCAAGTGTAAATTATTGACTGTGGCAACGGCAACGATATTTATGCCTTTGAACCTCTGCTCAAGACATTGCCGCTTTGTTGTGTTTCTGGGGCGACCAACCTCCTCTAATAAAATTTCGAGAATCTTTAACACCTAAAATGCAAAAATTTGGCCACAGGCGTAACTAAGACTTCTCTTTAAGAACGCTCTTCAGCCTCTCCAAGAATGATATGACATTACTCGATTGATCAATTAATCATCTTAGTGTGTCTGGTCATTTTTTCTCTTTTCAAAATCTCTATTTATCACATCACGTTGCTGTCTGCCAGGTATTTCTACACACGTTTTGGCCAAGGAAAACTTCGTGGCAACTTCTACAGTAAGTACGCCCCGATGGAATGTCGGAAATCGAAGAACAAATCGATTTGTTATCCATTCGAAACTGAGCCTCATGATTTATTTCAAAAATTATCTAGGTCAATTTTTTGACGGGCATACCTAACGGACGCGCTACAGCGCAAAGCGTGATCTGACGATAGGGATTTAAGAATCAATATCTTAAAAAACAGAAATTATCAAATGATCGACCGAATATGAAATTGCTCTTCAAAATGTATAATAGGACCGCATTATAGGATATAAAATTCGTGGTGAAGAAAGGCAAAATTTAAAACGGATCCTCTAGAATATAGCGGCCAAAGCTAAGGAGTTCAGTGTAAGTTAGGCAGCTAGATATCGGACTGCCGATTTGATTTTCTAACAAACGCCCAACCAATTTTGAGTGAGCGCTAATTTTAAGAATCCAAAATAGTCTTTTTTACCGTTATAATGAAGATTTGCCTCCATAGCTCTTGCTAATACGAAAAATGACGGATAACTTTAAAACTACCCGCGTGATGGTTCACGCAAACTTAAGCATTGTGGTCTAAGTAATCTGGATATGTCCTTTCACGACATTTCATATTGACGGTGAAACTGCAAAACCGCGTGTTTCAAAACGTTCGTTTTTATTATATTTCTTAAAAAAAAAATCAAACCCACATTATGGCTTGAAATTTTCTCCACGCAGAGAGGAATAGTCGTCTCAGTTTTTAAGAAATGACCTAGGAGAAATTAAAAGACTGTATCTAATTACAAATTAAAGTATGGCAGGAATCCTCCAGCGCCGCGAACCGAGATTCGCACTACTGCAGTTCCGTTCTCGCATTTTCGATATAATCTGCCATGCTAAGGAAAAATGCCTTGTGAACATTCGAAAGTTGCCAAATTTCCACCAATGTTTATTTTTAAGAAGAGTTTTGAATATTTTCTCTCGAAATTTGCAGAATATGCAGATGCAAATCTTATTGCAAATACAATACTCCAAAAAATTGAAGGAAAAATAATCGCAGGCCTCCCTGAAATTTCGTGTTTTAACAAGGGAAATTTGGCAACATCTGAAGGCACACAGGGCGTTCTGCCTTTAGCACGGCAAAAGGATAGTAGTTTGACGTAGTCGATCGGAAAAATTTTTGCTTCTCCCACCAGTGTCGGAGAATAAGACTCAATTTAAATGTCGCCTGAGGAGGTTACTCTCTCAGCATTTGCAGCTTTCCACGGATCTTAAGATACAATTCAACATTCATGAAGCACAAAGCGTCAGGTTTCAGGGACAGCCTCCCCGACGTCTTTGATGTGCACTTTCTAGGTAGACCTCTTCTCTTGAAAAAAAAAATCCCTGGGAAATTAGGTCTCTTGAGAAGGCAAAAGTAAATGCAATTAGGACGACGTGCGCTGTTGCGAAAGCATAGTCACAGAGCACCTGCATTCCGTGTAAACGTTACGTCAAACAGGATACTTCCTAATATAAACTGACAACAGTGACCCTTGCGTAGTTGCCCGGTGGCACTAGAAATTAACTATTTTCAGTTTAAGATTTAAAATAGACTCGAGGGTAATTTGGCAGCCCTGAGTTCCGTTTACCGAGCAAAAACATTACACAATCAGGGAACTCGAGCAAGTAATCATAACCTTTTAGACATGGAGCGCCTTCCCGGAAAAAATGTCTCTCATGGCAAAATGTGGGTCGATTTTGAAGGAGGAGGACTATTGTTTTTAGTTCACTTTCACTGGAAAGGAAAGCTTGGTCTTTAGAATCGGACGCCCTGCGTTTCATATTACGTGGGCGGCTGTTTCTGTTTGGTTCTTGCAATGGGCCTGTTGCAAACTTTTGCTAGAGCAAAAGTAAGAGTTGTTTCTTGTAGATAATGCCTCAAAAATCACGATGAGCGCATCGGCAAAGTCTGAAATGCACTCATAACTTCACAATCTGCGTAAGAAATTTGCGTTTTTTTAAGCTTCCCGCTTCAAAAACGATACTACGGCACAGGTGAACATTTTGTTAGAGGAGTCGCTCCACTGTCGGCGATATTCATCATGGCCGACGCTTGCGCGCAGTTCCGCGCGTAATTCGAGGAGAGTTTTAAGGTTAATCTTCAGCTGTAGTTCCGAAAAAATCCACCACGTCGCGCTGCTAAAATCCGACTCCGAAATCAGTGATTATTTAAATATCACAATAGGTATCTTAAATTTTAAGACTCATAAGTTCTAGCAGCATACGTCTGGAATCCTTAGAAACAAACGCGAGCTTTGAAAGTCTAATAATAAAAGCTGTAAATTGATCCCAGTTTCTCTTACGGGATATCTGTAAGTGCGAGAGAGACAGCTCACGGTGGGAGAGAGATATCTG